CCCCCCCCGCCCAATCTATGAACGTATAAGAGCGCACCTACAGGTATACGCAGGACCGTCTTCGCATTCCACACGTTTACAATGAATGGATCATGTTAACTTGAGTCCGTGCACATTTACAATGAACCTAAAAGGGCTGAAAAGAGACGAGTTTTCGCTTGAGCGGTTGCCCGAATCATTTTTCTAATGGAAATATTCCCCTCGTGTGCATGACCGCCTCTGATAAGAAATGTGCACTGTATTAAAAGTGTCATTGTTAATACCGCGGCACTCCGGTGCCTCCCTTTCCTGTAAATAGCTTTGAACCAATTTAATTTGGTCTTTTTCATTCCGAGCATAAGGCGCTTGCGATAATATGTTGGAACGATAGCTCTTGAGCAAACTCTTGCTTGTGAAAAAAGTTATTTTCACTTTTGGGGTTATCTTTACGTCTCATCTTTCTTTTGCCCGCGGGTGAAGAGAAATGGAAATGATGTCATCTTATATTTCGTGCTATGCTTTTGATGCTTCCCTCTTCGCCTCCCCAGTGAGAGCCAAATGGTTGCATCACTTAATGCACCTTATTTCAGAAAGGAAAAAAAAAATGCAGTATCATCTTTATATTTACGTGCAGACATCATCATGGCACTTTGAGGATTTTGTCATGCGAGCGTCGCTTGACACAAAATAGCAACGTAAAAACAAACTTGTCCTATACAGAAAATGAGAACTCACCACTCAGTAAGTTTGTCAAAAAATTGATCCACTCTTGCTGAGAAGGCGCTATGAAATTGATAAGACGGATTACTTTATGCTCAGCCGCTGTTCGGCGCGAATACGTTTGAAAACGCAACTCCTGCATTTTCAACAACTTCCTTCAGATGATGACATGGTAGTCCCACGTCTGATGTGACTTTGTGCGAAACGCAGCCACCGACCAATCAAAGTGTCAGATGTTCTTCACGCTCGTGGTCATCGAGGCTTTCTTGACATTGCGTGAGCACGGAAGTGAGGACGTGAGCCCTCGCTGCAAGGGATACGTTTGATAAGCTCGTGGGCTCAGGGACCCATTCGATTGGAGAAACTCACAAACAATTGTGCCAAAAGTTTTTAAAAATGGAGCT